AAACCAATTAATCAAAATACACAACCCATGATTGGATGCGAGGTCGTGACGGAAAGACCCTTCCAAAAATTGTACATGGACTTTTTAGGTAAATATCCGCGCTCGAAATCTGGCAACAGCTATATATTTATAGTTGTTGACCATTTTTCTAAATTTGTTTTTCTAAAAGCCATGAAGGAGGCAACCACTGCGAACGTAGTTCAATTTTTGATAGAGGAAGTTTTCAGGAAATTTGGTGTACCAGAAACTGTCCACACGGATAATGGGGCCCAATTTACCTCCAAAAGTTTTAAAAATATGATTGAACTGTTTAAAATTAATCATATTCAAACAGCACCCTACTCGCCACAGTCGAATGCCTCGGAGAGGGTAAACCAATCCGTGCTAGCAGCGATACGAGCCTATTTAGGCGAAGATCATAGAGAATGGGATACATATTTAACCGAAATTGAATGCGCATTACGGTCTTCTGTCCATGCCGCTACGAAGGTTACTCCGTTCTTCGCCCTTTTTGGTTACGAAATGTACACAAACGGTAGTGACTACAAACTAGCCAGGAAACTAAAATCCTTATGCGACCATGCCATAACCGACCTAACTCGAAAGGAAAAATTAGAAATTATAAGAGAAAAGATAGCTCAAAATCTACACGAAGCCTATGAGAGGAGTGCAAAACGCTACAACCAACGAGCTAGGTTAATGAAATTTATTCCAGGACAAGAAGTCTTCCGAAGAAACCATGTTCTAAGTGACTTTGGGAAAAACATCAACGCCAAATTCTGCAGAAAGTTTTTGAAATGTAGGGTAGTAAAACCAATAGGGAATAACATGGTTGAAATAGAAGACCTTCAAGGAAAACCATTAGGAACTTGTCATGCTAAGGATCTCAAAACTTAACACCGTTGGGAATAATAGTAGGATGACAAAGATGGTACAAGTTAAATAGTTAGGAATTCCAACAAGGCTACGGCTTTTACAGCGATGTAGCTGAACCAATTCCACATATATGGCTTCCCCATTAATGTAGCAGGTCGGAACTATGCCATCGCGTACTGAGGAAGTTAGTCCAAAGTGGCAGGTACAAATGTCAGATTCCAACTAAAAAAATAGTACCAGCTAATGCCAACCAAACCTATTAAAACATCCCACGACGCTAACTATAAACCCAATGAAACACTTCAACATAAAGCTCCTACCGCAATTGATATAATTGCCTATAAATAAGTGTGAGTTTTTTTTATTAATGATAGCGACTTTCATTAATTAATCTTTTTAAAATTCAGACCCCCAATACTGGACCGGTTGGAAGTCTTTTCACAAAATAAAAAGTCGAGAAAGGGAACAGTGAACATGCTAAATTTATTAGCTTCAATCATGGATAGTCCTTATAACCCCATCAATAGATACCTACACCCACAAATCTAGAAAATAAAGCCACAAATCTAGGAAATAAATCGAGAAATAAATACCCCCGAAATTTACAAATGATATCCGTCCGTTCAAAAAAAAAAAACACACCTTGAAATTGGTGTCACTGAAGTCCGTCCGTCCGCAAAAATAAAAAAATTACATACCCCTACCCAAACACCATCGTCCGTCCGTCCGACCAACAAATAATAGTATATTTCAACAAAAACTTACCCATTCATGCTACACCGGGTTGTAAATGCAAAGGAGGAGGTGACCGAATACCAATGTCCATTATGAAAGAGCTGACGATCAACATGTAGAATTGTACCTGCAAGAAGCCAGTAATATTTGTTAACAATATTGAAAACATGGTAAGGGGATATACTCACGAAACTGGGTTTGTAAACCCTCCACAACATTCGGTCATATAGACCGAATGACCTCTTCCACATATGCTGAACTGCAAAAATAAAACAATGTGTAAATAAATAACATCAAAATATTAATTGCAAAATACTCACCGAAAACTTTATCGGCACGCGTACAGGAAAAACCTACCAAAAGATAAAAACACAAAATGGTTGAATAAAAAAAGACAAGATGTAAACAAACAAGGAAATGAATGAACACAAGAACAACATTCTTCTTCTTCTTATTGGTATTCATTCAAAACAAGTAGTTGCGTTGCCAATCCTATACTATGTGTTAGGGTTCTATAGTAATAAAAATAGAGAAACAGGACTGGCAACACAAGGTCTATGTGTATGTGGAATGAGACTCCACTAACACACAAATAGGTTACCGGTCCCGTTGAGACTCCACGTGATGGAAGCGTAGGAATACTCACTCCGGAAAGATGTTTCATGCCCGGCTTTCGATCCTCAGGGTGTGGGAGTTCCCCACGTGATAAAATTGTACCACGCACATCGTCCATCGTCTTCAAATCGTCAGCCATGTCCGAAGTTTTGTTGCGTGGGGGTCCAATTGATTGTTGTACCGGCGGCGCTTTTAGCCTAAAAATAAAAAAATATATATGAATGAAAACATCTTTATTTTTTTTATTATAACTTACCTTTCATCCCTGCCTTTATAGTGCTGTGGCGCAAAAAAAAAATTTTTTTAACCTGATGCACTTGTGCATCAGACTGAAAGAGAATGAAGAAGAAGACATGTTACCATATTGGAAAACACATGAGATTACCATATGTACGAGTAGGAGGTTACCATATCGGACGGGGTATGTTCAGTGGGTGTCGGGTAACAAAAATATCAACCTTGCGACTGCAACATTTAGTAAGGTATACTAGTCTATGTGTATGTAAATGGAAGGGAGGGCAAATGCGGGAGTAGCAACACCAATACTCCCCTATCAAAGCTGGTTTGTGTTTGTAATTATCTGTGTGTGTGCCTTTATTTAGGACAAAAGATATTCATGTTCATCCTGTTGGGCTAGAATGGATGGTTGAGAACCTGACCCTGTGACCGCCAGCGAGCCGGATGGTCCAATCTAGCGCCGCCTTATCAGGACACGTAACAAGTTGTGGGAACCCAGGCTGTGAGAATCAGTCTGGATATCAGATAAGGAGACCTCAGCAAGGATGACCCAGAGTGCGCCAAACAGAGTGCGTCACCAGTTCTCACAAGGAAATCTTTCGATTTGCTCTTCAAGCAGTTTATTACTTAATGTATCTCTAATCGTACTTACCATAAGGATCAAATTTGTCGATGATTGCCACTTGAAGATCATCATCAGCAGCTACCGCGGTCGGTCTGTCGTATGGTTTTTTCTGTCTTTGACCAGAAAGTTTGAAGTTTGCCTTTCCACAAGAGGTTGATGCCTTCTCTGCACTAGGTTTCTTCTCCGCAGTTTGTGCAGTTTCGCTGCATACGATGTAGATGGGTCAGTCAGACGTGAAGTTATCGTCTTTTTGGGCGAAGGCTGTGGACATTCTGATTAGAGAATGCGCATCACAGATTTATTCTGAGGGACAAATTCGAAGCTCACCCTACGAATACGCGAAGATAAGATACAGAACGTTTATAGTGCTTCGTATCGAATATTTGTCGGGCAGTTCCAACCTTTGAATCTATGTCCGCTGCTGGGTTCTCGATAGATTCCCCATGGTCGGGCATCGCTTCAGTTGCGGTCTGCCTTTGAAGCTTATTGTCGGCATTTGCCGACACAGGACCTTTTGGAGACAGACTTGTATCCCGTTGGTCGACAGGGTGTACACTTCCTTCGTTGATGCTACAGCAATCCACCTGTGTAAATTTGGACGGAATCACCGTAGTGTCCGTAGCTCATCATCAGTCAGGGTAAGATTTAGTAGCAGTTCCTGGATGTGTATCCACAACTTTGCTCTTCCGCTACAAACCTGTCCAGTTGGTCGAATAGTTCCCTACTCTGTTCCTCTAGACTGTCGCGGATGGCAGTAAAGGTCCCATGTATGTCGTCCCTTCCCATAACTACAGTCCTGTCAGTCGTATACTGATTTTTATCAGTTTTGACTAGCCCAATTGGTCTCTCTGGATGATCTTATTGGCCAAGGCCTATATATAAGGTCATCCAGGAACTTCAGAGGCTTATCAGCTGCTACTCAAGTTTGCTGTCAAAATCCATTATTGAGAATTGACTTTCATTGTGAAAACGTAACAAACGGTGAAATTTTTGCCCTTAAGGGATTAGTATGTTAAGTTGGCCCCTTTTATTGTAAAAGAATAAAGGGGAACGGCGTCCGAATTCAAGTTTGAATTTGACATTCCTTTATAAATTGGGATTTCATACAAAACTAACCTAAAAGGCCAGGCCTGTATCCACGTATGTGTTTCCCCCTTTAGACTTGACTTGAAGAAACAGCTGACTTTCGCTTGCTGTGTGACCTTAGGTTAAGTTAGGTTTACGGATGTGCAGTCGCTTATGTGGCTGCAACACTCTGAGACCGTTAGGTCCGTTGTGATCATCTACGAGTAGAAAAGAGATAATGATAGATCTATAGGGGAAAAAATATTGGGGAAATAAAGAGAGATGAGAAGCTTACAGAAAGATATAAGAATATAAAATTGGAATAATGTCGATGGCTATAGACATAAGACAGAAGATATATACGTGTCAAGGTTTCACTTTCCCCACCACTTTAGGTTTCTAATTATGCTGTAGATTAGAGCAGGTTCGGTTGTTGATACTTCCGATGGACTTCGTTGTCGATTTTTAAAACCCTGCATTTTTGATTGGTTTGGTTTTCATCCGTGAATTGTCATTAATTTTGTTTTGTTTACCTAGTTTTCGTTTTGTTGTTGTCTCCGTACAGCTGATGATGACGTTTCAGTTATTTACAGTCAGCGACAGCCGCCTTTCGAATTGGGAATTTTTTTGCCTGTGTGGAAATGTTGTTTTGTTATTAAACAACAAATTTTGTAAAACAAAATATATAATAATTAAATATATATTAGATATATATGTTTGTGATATAACATAAATGACAGCTGCAACATAATTTGACAAGAACAGGAAACAACAACAACAAAAGAAATAACATCATCATTAGACGTACTTCTGTGTAGTGAATTTATATACGGGTCCAACCCATTTCGGAATTATTAATCATGGGTTTTATGTACATTTTAAGTTGGATAGCGTTGATATTTCAAATTGTTTTTGTAACCATATCAATTGGTGAGTGGTAATTGGATCTAGCATGCGATTGGAATATTAATGCAGTTTTTGTTTGTTTAGCTGCCGGCCTCTACTACATTGCCGAACTGGTGGAGGAGTATACAAGTGCGGCGCGAAAAATGATCTTAATGATGATTAGCTTTACCATGTTCGTATATGTCATGTTCATCTTCTGTGATGATCTACCCTGGAGCATGATTATAATGGGATTTGTAACGCAGCTATTGCACCTGGCCATTATGAGCACATTTCCGTTTATTAAATTCCTTTCGCTGCCGTTTATTGGTACGGTGGGGTGCCTGATAGCCAATCATTTGTTGGCTTTTCAATATTTCACCTCGGTGTATTATCCATTTACACAGGTATGCTATTCGATTTGGAATTTAAAATTTAGATTTTTAATAATTTTCTGTTTCTCGTTTCAGATCCTGGCCTACTTCACAATTTGCCTGTGGATGGTCCCATTTGCATTGTTTGTCTCACTGAGTGCAAACGATAATGTCCTACCCACCACTGTCAGTGATAGCCACCTGGCCGGAGATCAAGATGTTGTTAGCAATTACTTTTCACGTGGCAAAAAACAGGGCCTATTGTCGCTGTTTAATTATTTGAAAAATAGTATTATGCCTGGTCGCAATAAAAAGTCGTTTTAAGTTAGGTTAAAATGAAAAAAAGGAATCGAGGATGCTGGTAATATATCAATAATATCTGCGAGTGAGATATTAATAGTTTAGAATTCTTTTTTCTATATATTTTTTTGTATTTAGTTATTTACCCCAAACGAAAAGACTTTGTAAAGTAACAAAGAGAACAAAAAAAAAAAAAAATGTTATGAATTTAATAATTAAAAAAAAAAAATCGTTGGTTCTGCTGAATGGGACCTATACCTTATAGTGGACCAATATTGCTAATTTTTGGTAGGGAGATTTTTTAACCCAAATTACAGCTAACATGGTTGAAAAACTTCTTCAAAATCCCGATAATCGAGATTTCGTTAACCAAAAGTGGATCATTATAGATAATTTTTGGTAGAGAGATTTACTACCTAATGAGAATCCGAAATATCAAATTACAAGCAATTCTATTAGAATAATATTTTCAAAAAACCGAAAATTGGAGGTATCCTTATATGGGGGCTATAACCAAAAGTGGACCAATATTGATAATTTTAGGGTAGGGAGGCTTTCTACGCAAAGAGAACCCATAATATAAAATTACAGTCAATTCGAATGGAAAATGTGTCCAAAATATTCGAAATATGGAAAATCGGAGGATTAGCTGTGTGGGGGCTATACCTAAAAGTGGAGCAATAACGATAATTTTTGCTAGGGAGACTTTCTACCCAAAGCGAACACAAAATACCAAATAACAACCAATTCGGTTAGAAGACTTCTTCAAGACCAGTCAAATTGAATGTACCGTTATATAGGGGCTACAACTAAAAGTGGACCAATGTCGATTATTTTTGTTAAGGAGATTTTTTACTCAAAGAGAATCCAAGATTTGAAATTACAGCCGATTTGGTTGAAGAACGATTTAAAAATCCGCAAAATCACTTTCCCTATTCAACGGGTCTAATAAATAATTATTCGGGATCTGTTAGGCCGTATAAATAATTATAAGAGCTCCTACATGCCTTCTTGATAATTAGAAAAAACTTCTACAAATCTTCTAAAAGGTTACGAGATCTACTGCGGGTCTACTAAATAATCAAGAGAACACTAATTGCTCTTATTGATAAGTTGAAGACCTCTTACAGGTCTTCTAAATAATCTACAGAGTTCTTACAAATCTTCTTGGTAATTAGACGGAACTTCTAAATCATTAGAAGAGTCCATATAGGACTTCTTGACAATTAAAGACCACCAACAGGCCTTCTAAATAATTGGAAGAGCTCCTATGGGATTTCCTGGCAATTAGGAGACCTCATACAGGCCTTCTTAATAATAAGGATAACTTCTCTAGGTCTTCTAAATAATTAGAAGGTCTAATTCAGTTTTTTCAAATGAATAGGGACCTCCTAAAGACCTTCTATACACTTAGAAGACCACCTACAGGTCTTCTAATAAGTTTTGAGGTCTACTACAAGTCTACTTAATAATTGAGAGAACTCTTATGCCTCTTATTGATCATTTGAAGACCTCCTAGAGGTCTACTTAATAATTGAGAGAACTCTTATGGCTCATATTGATCATTTGAGGACCTCCTAGAGGTCTACTAAATAATCTGGAGACCTCACAGAGGTCTTCTAAATGATTAAAAGTGTCCCTATAGGACTTCCTTTATTATAAATTCGCGCCATAATATGGGTCCTTAAAAATACATTTTAAAAAATTCACGCCCTGATAATGGTCCTTAAAAATATTTCTTAATAAATCAACGCCTATTGAGGGTCCTTAAAAATATTTCTTAATAAATCCACGCCTATTGAGGGTCCTTAAAAATATGTTTTAATAAATCCACGCCTATTGAGGGTCCTTAAAAATATGTTTTAATAAATCCACGCCTATTGAGGGTCGTTAAAAATATTTTTTAATAAATCCACGCGTTACTAAGGGCGCGTTTATATATAGTTTAGATCCATCTAATTGTTCAGAAGACCTACAGAAGCTCTCCAAGTTATTTAGTATTGGGAGTGCCCCTATAGGCCTTCCAGATAATTAGAAAACCATTTACAGATTTTCCATACAAATAAAATACCTTATATGGATCTTTCATAAAAAAATTTATGCTAATCAGCTTTATGGCTTTGCTGATTCTTAGACAAGAACATTACACACACAAACAAGTCCAAAGTATTACACTTGACCTTGAGAGATAGCTTATCGTCTCTTCCCTTTTATGATTTATAATTTATATAAAACTTTATTAAAAAAGCTATGCTTTTTTTACAAAAATATGACAGATTCACACAAAAAAAATCTATGGAACCATGGACTTAAGAATTAGTTACGAGAATGGTTTATACTTATATTACTAAAAAAAATATTCTCCTTTTTAAAAATTACTTCTCCTGAGTCTTCACCGAACCATCAGCCATGCCAAAGTAGGCCTTGGTGGCCATATTGACAAACAACCCTGTCTCCACGACACCGGGAATCAGCAGCAAATCACGATTCACTTCAGTCCAATTGAAATCGGCACTTGCGGGGAAATGCCAATCCAAAATGAAATTACCATTATCGGTGACACAAGGTCCAGCCTTGGCCACGGCCATACGCAGCTTCAATTCACCACCGAATAGTTGTTGAACTTTCTCTCTAATGGGAACATAAGCCATGGGGACCACTTCAATGGGTACACCTTTCTTGTATTGTTCACCCAGCTTTTGGGAATTTTTCGTATAATCCGCTATGATGATAAGTTTCTCGGCACAGGAGGCAACAATTTTCTCTTGCAGCAGGCAGCCGCCACCACCCTTGATAAGGACCATATCTTTGTCAACTTCATCGGCACCATCAATTGCGACATCCAATTTGGGATAACGATCCAAATCACCCAATACCAAATTGTTCTCGACAATCAATTGGCGTGCTTGGAAACTGGTGGGTACACAGACGACCTCTAAACCTTCGTTCTTGACACGTTCCGCCAAACGATCAACGGCAAAGACAACTGTTGATCCACTGCCAATACCCACGGCTGTTTTGGTTTTAACCCACTCATCGACGGCACGATAGGCAGCGATTTTCTTGGCTTCATTCAGGGACATGTTGGCAGAGGTTTTCGTCGGTCCGGCGGCTTGAAGAGATAAACAACGAAGTTCACGTGGTACTGAACGAACCAGATTGAATTTATAGCTTGAACAGGCTAACCGCCGGCAAAATGTCATTGCGATTTGTAAAAAAACTTGTCGTTGTTGTTGGTTTTGCTTTCAAATATTCCATTCAATGGAGAGAAATGTCAAAGTAAACTGGGAGAGTTTACTGTTAGACAAGGCAAAAGCGTACGTAAGGTATACGTAATGGGACGTAAGGCGCCGTAATTGAAATTAATGGCGGGAAATTAATAAAAAATTATATTTATTACAAAATCGTATATATTCGGTGACAATATATAATGGAGAACGGAAATTTGGTTTTTCGGAATTTGTAGGAAAACAATTATGTTCCGCTTTACGTTTCTGCGCGGGCAAATGGTAACTGTAGTGCCATCTAGTGAATGTATGTGTGACTAAGGCGTCCCAAAAGTCTCCAAAAAAAATTCGAATTGGTGAATGTATCTACTATGTCTGTATTTTGACAAATTCAAATTAAGCTTTTTAGTTTTGAAAAAATGGCAAGCATTTTTTGAGACAATCTATAACATTACACTCAATAATGTTGGGAGCCATATTTTTTCTGAGAGAGCTTTCAAAATCTGCATTTTTTTCCAGTCGACTTCAACACCATCTATATAGGAAAATTGAAATTTTTCTGGAAAATGCATTACAATTGTGAATAACAATCAATAGATGGCGGCACCGTTAACTGTTATTCTGTTATAAAACTGTTATACTATTAATTTTCATCAAAATTTTTTCCAAAATTAATGATTTTTGATTATTTTTTTGATTTTGTTGATTGATTTCCGCGAAAATTGGATGGAAAAACAAAAAAACAATGTTTTTTGTTCACGGATAAAAAAATTTTCCGCGAAAATTTTTATTATCCGTAATTATAGTCAAGACACCAACCTTATCCAACATTTTCGATAAAATTTTACGGTACGTTACGGTGGAATTTTTGGCACGGTCATTCATTCTGTTTGGTTTATTGCTTTAACTAGCAATACCAACAACAACGTTATGTGCATTCGTCACAAAGTGACGGCACATAGCAGTGGGAAATGTATTGTAGTTGTCTGTAAATGCCTTGTTGACCACGAAGTCAGGCGCCAACGAAACGAACTTCTCATTGGGGTCGTATCGCTGGTAACGTAAGAACTTCGAATTGTCACAAGAGACATTTGGGTTTGAAAGGTTTTTTGTAAAGAAGCTATTAATAGCTTCTGGGGAGAATATCCCAACAAAAAAACTAAGGGAACTGATGAGGATCAGTGGCGAGATCCGAAACTATAGTCTTCCCTGCCTTACCCCTCGGCGGACAATGCCATACATTCCCCACTAATAAATAGTTGTTTTTTATAAAAACAACAAACTGGGATTAAGCCTGACTATTTTGCAAGAACAAAATAAATATTGTTAATAAACAACATCTCACAATTTATCTAACTTATCTTCATCGATTCAGTTGTATCGGGTTGTAAATCGGTTTGTTCCAGGTCCAATGTGGTCCTTGAAAATATAATTTTAAAAAATCTACACCTTGTAGTTGTTCTTGAAAAAATAATCTTTAAAAATCCATGACTTATTTATGTCATCATTAATATTTGAGAGATCTCCCAAAGGTATTCTAAACAAGTAGACTTCGAAAAAAATACGAAGCCTCTAATAGGTCCTGTTAATAATTGGTATACCTCCTACAGGTCTCCTAAATAATTGAGAGAACTCATATGGCTCTTTTTGATAATTTGAAGACCTCCCAAAGGAATTTTAAATAATTAAGAGGGCGCAGATTGCCATTCTGAATCATTAGAACGTCCTGTTTATAATTAGAAGAGGTCATAATGGTATAGTTATAGGTCTTCCAAATAATTTAATAAGTAATTAGAATCCAAATAATTAGGAGACCTTCTAAAGGTCTTCTAAAGAATTTGGGTAGTTTCTATAGGTAATTTGTATTATTCGGAACCCTTCTGTGGGACTTCTAAATAATTCGGATATCTCCTACAGGTTTTCTAAACAATTGGGAGGCTTCCCGTGAGACATCCTATAGGTTATCTAAACAATTTGAAGCTCTTCTATGGGACTTCTAAATAATTCCAATACTTCCTACAGGTCTCCTAAATAAATTGTAGACCTCCTATGGGTATTCTAAACATTTAAGAAACCTTTAATAGGACTTCTTTATAATAACGTATCCTCGTATATGCCCTCTAAGTAAATTTGAGAACTCGTTCAGGGTTTCAAAATAACTGGTAGGCCTCCTACAGGTATTCTAAACATTTAGGAAATCTTCTACATGACTTGCAAATAATAAGGAGACCTTATATAGGCCATATAAATATTTAGCAGACCTCCTACAGGTCTTCTAAATAGTTAGGGTAGCTTCCATGGGCAATCTAAAATATTAGAAAACCTTATATGGGACTTTTAAATAATTCTGAGACCTCCTGCCGTTTTTTCTAAATAATGGCGAGATCTCCTATAGGTATTCTAAAACCTGAGGAACTTTTTCTATAGAAGTACTGAGGATTTGTTTTCTATAGAAAAAAAGTTCTCAGAAAAAATAGTCCTCATTTTTTTTTATAGAAAAAAAGAGTCCTCAAAGTACTGAGGAATTTTTTTCTATAGAAAAAAGAGTACTCAGAGTACTGAGGAATTTTTTTCTATAGAAAAAAGAGTCCTCAGAGTACTGAGGGAATTTTTTCTATAGAAAAAAGAGTCCTCAAAGTACTGAGAAAAAAGAGTCCTCAGGGCACTGAGGAATTTTTTTCTATAGAAAAATGAGTCCTCAGAGTACTGAGGAATTTTTTTCTATAGAAAAAAGAGTCCTCAGGGTACTGAGGAATTTTCTGAAGAGTCCTCAGAGTACTGAGGATTTTTTTTCTATAGAAAAAAGAGTCCTTAGAATACTGAGGGATTTTTTTTCTATAGAAAAAAGAGTCCTTAAAGTACTGAGAAAAAAGAGTCCTTTTAATCCCTTAATTAATTTTTAATCCCTATATCCCTATTTTATCCCTATTATAAAAGTGAACTATTTAAAGACTATTTTTAGGGATGTCATATGTTTGGTTTTTTTAAACTATTTTTGGGGCCATAAGCGCCAATTTTTAGAAAATTATTTTTAGGACCACCCTCTTAAATAATTATCAAATTTTTCATAGGTATTCCTGATAATTAGAAGATCTCCTTATGACTCTATGTGTGTTTTTTATAATTAGAAAAATTATTTGGGGACTTTTAAACCTTTACGGAACCTGGTATAGGACATCTAAAGAGAGCTCACATGGATCTTCTGGAAAATCTCCTACAGGATATACAATTATTGGAACCTCGCATTACAAGACCTCCTATCGGCTCTCTTAATAATTAGAATAGTTCCCATAGGACTTCTTCATAATTAAAGGTCATCTACAGGTCTTATAAATAATTGGGAGGCTTCCCATAAGTTCTCTAAATAATTAGAAACCCTTCTATAAGACTTCAAAACAATATAGACCCTTTGTATAGGTCTTCTAAACAATTTGAAGATGTTCTAAAGGCCTTCCGCATAATTGAGATATGCTATAGATATTCTAAAAAATCCGAAAACCTTTCACATGACTTCAAAAAATTACGAGACCTCATATAGGTCTTCTAAAAATATAGGAGGCCTACTATAATAATTAGAATACCTCGCATAAACCCTCTAAATAGTTAGGAAACCTTCTACAGGTATTCTTAATAAGTAGGAAAGCTCCTACAGGTCTAAATGAAGAGACCTCCTAATGGTATTCTAAAAAATTTTGAAAATCTTCTATGATTTTCTAAATAGTTACGAAACCTTACGCAGGGTCTTTGAATATTTGGGAGACTTCATACAGGTCTTCTAAATAATTAGGCGAGCTCCTAAATATTTGGGAGATCTACTATAATTGCAATTGCATCAAGATCCCATTTACTAGTAAAGGCCCTGATATTGTAATGACTAGGAATGATTCCTGTCATTACTCTTATTTCAGTTTTGCTCAGGTTAACAAGTGCGTCCGTTTTGTAGACAGAGTCGGCCAAATGGATCTTGACACGTTGCACCTACCTAGGTTCGTTGTGCAAAGTTCATAGGCTCTTTCGAACGCCTCATAGTTCCGGTAAAGATGACATATGGGTGGTTTGATTGAGTCATCAATTGCTAGATCTGTGGATTGAGATCTAGCTAGTTCATCTGCTCTTTCATTACCCAAGATATCACGGTGCCCTGGTACCCAACACAGCCGATAGCTTTAAGTAAGTTCATCCAAAGCTGTTCTACACTTAAGGACGGCCTCAGATTTGATATAACAAGATTTGATGGCTTTAAGAGCCGCTTGACTATCTACGAAGATAGTTCAACGGTTCAATGACCTCTGCATCCAGACTTTTTATCAATTCCGCTGCCTTTCAGCTTGGAAAACACTACAGTTGCTATCCAGCTTGTAAGTTAACTCAAGGACTAGCCTTCCACCATAGATGCCTACCCCCGTACCTTCTTCCATCTTGGATCCGTCTGTATAGAAGGCAAGATCATCCAGAGGAGGGTTACTTCGGTTCCAGTTGTCTCTACTAGGAATAACGACATCTACATCGTCAAATCTTAGGACTGTTGATATATAGTCGTTTAGTTGTACACGTTGGTCCAATGTCATACCTGGCTCGTACAAGATACGATCATGCCCAAAGGTACAACTTCGCCAGAGGTTTTGATCATGCAGCCTTAGGGCGCTACGCGCGGCCTTACACTTAATGCTAAGGTCCAGAGGCTTAAAATTCAGTATTGCGTTCAGACCTGCTTGTTGCGTACTCCTCCTGGCTCCTGTAACTAAAATCGAGGTGGCTCTTTATTCCTTATCTAATTTACTGGATGTCGACTTGTGGCGCAGACAGTTCCACCACGCAAGAGAGCCATGGGATAGGATGGGCCTTACCACAGTTTTATA